ACCAGTTGCTTTATTCAGTCTGAATGAAATGACAGCCGACCTGCCTGTCTACCTACCTGTCTACCTACCTGTTCACCTCTGCACACTCTTTGTGCGTGACCGGAGTTCCCCACAAGACAGCCAGCAGGCAGATAATGCTAAAGCTGCCAAACTAGCCACACAAGAATGTCAGAGAACGACCAGACAAAAAAATCCATCTTGATGGTTTTCTTTTGATTGAATACTTTCAAAATCGTGCTGTCTCTCGCCAGTTTCTCCAACCTCACCTACCCTAGCTTTAATTGTTGGAAAACTAACTTGTCTTATCTGCCTGTCAGGGCGAGAGAATAACTCTGTAACACCAGACTCATGTCTCTTCATTACTTTATCTTTTTAAAGATGTGCTCCTAATCCCATTACTTTGCTCTCATAGGTCCTGGCAGAACGTATACTGTGTCTTAAGAAAAGGAAGTCTCGGTTTCTATAAAGATGGCAAGAGCGCTAGCAACGGCATTCCATACCACGGAGAGGTACCAATCAGCCTGGGAGAGGCTGTGTGCGAGGTAGCCAATGACTACAAGAAGAGGAAATTTGTATTCAAGCTCAGGTGAGAAGAGACTTGGCAACAAAAACCCTCAGAAAGAATATTCCTGATACAGAACAGTTGTCACCCTGTTTTTTTTTATAAAGAAAGGCTGTGATGAAATATCAAGATAATGGCAAAATGTTGAGATGTACAAGGCTTATCTCTGACTAATGGTTTACCTCTTCAACACTGTCTGCAGGCTAGGGGATGGAAAAGAGTACCTGTTCCAAGCAAAGGATGAGGTGAGATGTATAGAATTATTTCACTTAAATAAATAACTAAATACAAATTTATGTTTGTGTAAAGAACTCTTGTTGGTGTGCTGTGCCTCTGCCTGAATGGTGAAGTATAATAAAGGTTTTTGACTCTCTAAAGGCGGAAATGAGCTCCTGGATCCGTTCCATCATCAGCTCCATTCCAACAGGATCAGGAGACTCGCCCGGAGGTCCACGGGCGCTCAGCCGTGCCATGACGATGCCTCCCATCTCCCCCAGCTCAGGTGATGCCGGAGGTGTTACAATGCGCAACAAAGATGGGAAAGAGAAGGATCGTGAGAAGAGGTTCAGCTTCTTTGGCAAGAAAAAATAGAACGCTTGTTAAACCATCGATGGAAGCTAAATTTGTCGAAATTTCAATAAACTGAAGCAGGCAGAAAGGAAAGTACAAACGGTCACACAAACACACTGCTCTCAGTGCAGGCCCCAAGGAATTTGTACGTAGCTTACAGAGAACTTTGTTTTCTTTTCTTTCTCTCTGATTCTCTCCCTTGCTTTTATCTGTCACTGACTTTTTGGTTCACCCAGTCCATATTTCGCATTTGGCTGCACTCAACAATGAAAGCCCTCATCCAATTTCAGGTAATTTCAGCCAACCAGCAGAGCTTACTTGTCTGAGTCAGTAGCAGGTGTGGTTGGCATTAGCAGGGATCCAGGCCTCGTTCAGGTCCAGTCCACCAAAACGGCTCTCCTTCAGCATGAATATTTGCTCTTCGGTGAGTCTTTCCTTGCTGAGCCGTTTTGATGCTGCGCCACTAATAAAACGATGGATGGAGGCTTTCCACTGTGGTGCACTCTGGTTTTATTTCCCCACCTTCAAGCGCTCTCTTCTTTGGGAAGGATCACATCAGTCTCTTTTTCTGTTCTTGGTATTGATGTTATTAACCTGACATATGATATTATTGCTGTTATTATTATTATTTATCTTTTGCTATTGCTGGTTTGATAAAACAAACTAATTAATTTGACAGTAGATAATCTTGATTCATGTTGTGGAGAGAAACAAATTTGGTTAAACTAGTGGAGAATAGTGGAGAATGTTGGGCTTGCCCTTTGTATGTATTGTTTTTTTTGTTTTATTTTTTAGGAATGACATGATGAGGTGTTTTGAGAAAAAAATAAAGCTCATTAAATTTTAGCAGTGTGCAGTAAGTGATCACAAGTTTCATTGGGAAAATGATAAATATATATATATATATTTAATAAGTGGTTTTATTTTTTATTTTATCTCTAATTTTGCCTGTATTTGATTATTTCTTTTGAGTGATCTTTTCTGCTTAATTTTCGACTTTCTTTTTTTTTCTGTACAAAGCAGAGAAGATTAGTTTTCTAGTGTGTGCGTGTGTGCGTGCGTGTGTGCGTGCGTTGTGGTGCTGTGGATTTTGCACGTTTATGTTATTCCTGATCAAACGTGGCCAGATGAATGCTGCTTTTCAGTCCGCAAAGGTAGACGAAAACCAGACACAAACACAAAATAATCTTAACTGGAATGATTTAATAAAATTAGCTTTTCTTTGCTTTGATTTTTATTACACGTAAGCTGACATTACCAATGAAGTTCCTCAAGGCGGTTATTTCTGTTTTAGTCTTCTAATATCTATTTCCGTTCTCTCTCTACTGGTGTGAAGGCATGGGGGCAGTTTGTAGATAAAAAGCTGAAGCACATTTTCTGTGGCAGACCGCAGGGACGCAAGCGGGACAGATGGATGGCTGACAGGTCTCATTACAGGTGAAGTGAGGGGTGTGGAAGTGAGATTGGATAGGCAGTGAAGAATGCGTTTTACCTGACAGAGAGAGGTGTACTGAGTCTTACTTGAACCGACTACAGATACACTGAACCCCTTTTTACAAACCCACCCTCCATTCGAACAGTCTTAAAGGAAGCTTTCTTAGTACGAAGATATGTGTTAAAAATGTGCCCTGTGGCAATGATCTAATGTATGTCAGTGGATTCTAAATGAACAGTAACCATTGGAAAGCTTTGCTCACTAGTGTTGGCAGAGAGGGAAAAGTCCTAAATTGTCTCTTAGATGAGCGTTGTGCTCTCGCATATTTGTTATAACTTCATGTAGGTTTATACTTGTATGTGTCTCATCATTGCCATCTACTCTCTACTGTGTTGATGTACTCTGAAAACATGAGATCACTTCATATTCAGGGTTAAATAAATTATCTGTAATTGGCATTTACAATTATGTAAAACAAGCTAATGGCAATCCAGTATAGTTAATATAAAGAAAACTGAGATTTATTAGTTTCTTCAGATTAAATGAAAAGGGAATTTATAGTATATTGTGAGACTGTAGGCAGTAGTGCAACTTTAATATCTTGAGATCATTGGATAGGTCGTTAACCGTTATTATAGTCACTTAAGTGTTGATTTGCCTTTTCTAACTGCCAAAATTCAACAGGAAGTTACTGGATAACAATTCTGAATTTAAGGGTTTTATTGATTTTCTTACAAGTAGGTTGCAAGTAATCAATCAAAGTGAGTCTTTTAAAGCTGGTAATTGCCTGGATGTGCATACCATGCCTGGGAAGGCTGATTAGTCCACAAGAATGTCGCACCAAACTGTTGTGATAACAAAAACAGCTGGAAGTGAATTTGTATTTGGTTGTTATTTTAAACATGTTGGCCTTATTTTCCTATCCCAAATGAATGTGTTACCGGTGGTTTATCACTCAAATCAAAGACCCTCCAAGTCAAAGAAGAGAAATATCTCAAAACACTCTTTGAGACTATTGAACTGGGTCCAGTTGACAGCATCTGGTGCAAGCTTGATCAAACTGACTGCCTTGTCTCTGTCAGTGGGACTTTGAATCCCGGGTGTGTGACAGAGCTCCTAGTTTACGTAGCCTTAAACAAAGCTACGATCTAGGAAGTTAATAACATCATTGCATACATAAGTGAGCCAACGCAGTTATCGTACATTGTGCACAATTTCGAATGGAGGAGTCGTTCTTTCCCTGGTGGATGAGCTGTTTTTAGTGACAATGGCTACCTTTTCTCTGCTCTGTACATCAGACACAGCATCCAGTTGATGTTAGGGAGTTCAAGTTTAAAGGTCACACAGTGTATTTTCTTATCAGCTCGTTTGAATGTGAATGATTCAAATTAGTTTGGCCAAATTGGTCATGTGAAGCAAAAATATTTCTCATACTTGACATATTGTACATGAGCGCTCTGTCTCTCTCTCTTTCACACACACACACATACACACACACACACTCATACACATTAATACTGTACTGTATATTTAAATGCAGAATGACCCTGGCAATCCAGTCTTGTGGGAATGATCCTCGGCTGGCTGTGATTCGCTGTTGCATATAGCATCCTTTCAAAATAACATTGTGCTACCGGTGAGCTTTGACCAGAACATGGAAAGTATGTATTATTGATGTCAAAGAGATGGGTTCTTTGGTTATGAGAGTACTTGGAAAAAAAAAAAAAAAGAGTACTTAATGAAGAAAAAAACAACAACTTTTACTTGTTAAGTATTAGATATGAGTGAAAACAGACTGGTGACAATTTGAGCTTCCTTTTTTAGAAGAAGGCAGGATATTTGCTGTCTAGTGGGAGCTTGTATTTTTTCATCCAGTGGTCTGTCTTGCAGCATTTGATAAGCCTGTCCACCTACCTTCATTTCTCATTACTTTTGACGAATGTCTGTTCCTTCCTCTGTAATTCAGAGCTGTTAATACCACTACTATTATTAATTGCTATTATTACATTATTGCTACTGTTGTTACTATTACTACTACTGTTACTAATGCAACTTATTGCAAAAATTATAACTGCTGTCCATTTTCAGGTACGTGTCTGTAATACCAGACCCTTCCACACGATGTCAGTGTGCTGTGGAGCATTTTCATTACAAATCAAAAATAATGTTTGTTGACTTGTGTATCTACATCTAATATTAGGAATAATAAAACATGGTTTAATCAAAAGTTTGATATTGTTGCAGGGTTTTTAATGATAAACAATGTAAACGTGCTCCAAGTTGGATATTTGAATTATTATTTAATCTGACACTCAAACTGTTCAATTACACATTACAATATACCTCAACTAAATGTGGTCAGAAACATTAGATTGGGTTTTCATAGAAAAGTGTGTTAGGATTTTCCAGAGTTAGGGACTAACAAAAGCCAGCTTAAAATAAATATTGTGATTTATTTATTAATTATTATTATTGTGAAGTGTAAGTTAAAATCCAAAAATACTACATCCTACATTTCCCATAATGCAACTCAATAGCATCTTTCATTAGAGCAGTGACCCATTTGATTCTCTATACTGTGATTATTGACACAACACAGCAGTTCAGTGCACACACTACACAGAAAGATGACAATAAAGGAAAACTTGAATGAGAATGAATGTAGATTCTTCAGTACAATTCAGCAATGAACATCCCATTTAGCTCTATTACAGGCATAACAATGCTGAGCAGGCCCAGTTCTCCCCCCCTGCTGAAATCATTAAATCACAAGGTGAGGAAATATATTTTGGAAGAATGAAGTGGTCTCCTAACTTTAAATTCTAAATTTATGTCAGCTTTTACTTTAATTTGTCACCCATCAGTACACCTGTTGTTACAAGTGAATTTATAAAACCATTTCTAAAATGTCAGCTACAAGAGAGCAGAATGGGTTTGTAAATTTGAGAATAAAAAAAACCAAATATTCTGGATATGAGCTCAATGTGTGTGTTCACGTATTACTACAGTAGGCCACATGTGAAATGTTCTTGCAGTATGTGAGAAAGATCGCTGCTGCAGTGCTGTCATTGAGAATAAATTAATGATGCAACTGCAGCAAATGAGGTCAAGGATGAGCGAGTAATGACTAACATACAGTAAGTTTATGATGAATCAGGGGGCTGCTGGGAAGGATGTCATCATCCGAAGAGCAGCGCAAACCTTCAGAGAGAAACCGGAGCCTTTGTCTCATCACAGCAGTAATAATCTCTGCTATTGGTGGTTGAAAAAAATGGGAGAGGGTGAGGATGGTGGTCAAAGAACTCTGAAAATAATGAGCCAGCTACAGATAGCACAATAATTAGATAACACAGTCTAAAAGTTTATAAAGAGAAAGCTGTGTAGCAGGAAACATCTCCACATATTTGATGCAGTTTAATTAATGGTTTCCTTGCACTTACATTTAGTGACAATGAGACAAGAAAAGTTGAAGAAATAAAAAGTAATTAGGTGTGAATAACAAATAACGAAATTTGTGAAACTTGGAGGTCAGAACCAGTAAGTCCAAATGTTAAAATACGACCTTCTTCACAGCAGCAATTTTGACATGAACTAGTAGGGTAAACACAGGGGTAGAAGACAGTGAGCCAACATGCACTACAGCAGCACCCTGACTGTGTTTGACCTGAATAAAACAGAACCTTGAATAGTATCATTAACACCTGTGTTTACCCTACTATTTCATGTCAAAATGGCTGCTGTGAAGAAGGTCGGTCTTAAGTCGCCTTTCTTTTCTTTTTTGGTACTGGAACGCCTTGTGAGCAGCATTTAGTGTAAATAAGGTGCACTTTTATTGATGACTAAGGCTATAATGTTACAGAATACATGTACCTAAATAAACATGACCCACTGATAATGACATTTTTTTTTAGGGGAAATAATTGTGAGAACATATCTGGCAACGCCACAAAGCCATCACTAGGGGGCGCTAGGCGTCAGGTTGTCCGCTCCATCTGCCTACAAGTCCTGACGGAGGGCACACATTACCCACAGCCGCTCTCCCGTGTACTAAAGCAAGATGGCAGCTGTTGTTGAGAATGTTGTCAAACTGTAAGTGTTGGGACTTTTCTACACACCTTACACCCGGATAGATGACACACACCGCGGTCACATGGCGACGGCGGAGCGATCAGACAGCCACTGACGGTGTCGCGGGCTAGCTTAGCAACATTTCCACTGACTTAGTGAGGTTAGCCAGCGTTGTCGGGACCGTCGTGTGTGTTGTTCACATCCTGGAAATGGAAGTGTAAGTTAGCGGACACGCAGATGACGTTTCTTAAACACAAATCACGGGTCTGTTTTAATAGCCCGTGCGTCAATTTGACCAAAAATGTATTAATAGAGAGATATTCTGGTTACTTGCTGTGTCTTTTCTAACCGAAGAGCTACCGCGGTGCTAACGTCGGTTCAGTGCGGCAGCTAGGTGGCTCGCAGGCTAACAGGCTAAAGAGAGAGTAACTGTGTCCGCCGCTGTTAGCGCAGGCTCGGAGCGCGGTGGGGACCGGCCGAGGAGTGGAGAATGAATGGGAGACTGGCCGAGGGACATCTCCTTCCCTGTGGGCTTTAACATCTACCGCAGCTCTCTCGTCTGTGGGACTGTGAAGTTTTTCAGCGACCCGTAATATTACCTGGTTGTGGTGAAAACGTGCTTCCATTTCCGTTGTCTTTTCTTTTTTTTTTTCCCCCACTTTGCGTCGGTGCCCACGGTGGTTGACGTTTCTGCGGTAATTAGCCATGGGGTAAGTTCTTAGTAACCATGGTAACGTAGGGAAACATTGGACTTACCGGACGCTTAGCCACAAAAAGAAGTTTCTTCTAAACTTTATATTTGAACTTTTCAAAGCTTATTTGTATGTTGTGGTGGTTGTTGTTGTTTTTTTTTATTAGATGCTGTCTAAGAAGTTTTAAACTTTAGTCTCAGTAAAAAAAACTACTAGAAATAATGTAGAAAATAATATTTATGGCTTTAAAAATGAGAAAGTTACATGGCAATATTTCACCCTGTTTTTTACATTCTAATAGATGTATTTATTAGAAACAGTCACTTCCATAAAAATATGACATGAATTTCTGGTTAATCCTGATCAAATAGTATAGCTCAAACAGGCAACACAGACATATTTACAGTACTAGGCAGAATTATTACGTCTTTACAAGTAGCTAATGAAATAATGAGATCTGTCATTAAAGTTTAGTGCTTTAAACCTTTATACAACTACATAGTATACTTACAGTTCTCTCATCAAGGCGGCTCCAATACAACTAGTGTTATTGTTCTTGCTCCCTGACAACCTCAATAATTGCAACTGCAGGATGACTATTTGTCTTCATTCCCTCTTTTCCTTGCCACTCAAGGACTTGAAGAACCAATGAGGTTCATGTTATGAGCCTGTTTGTCTCAGGAGATGCAGCCCTTAGCTTTCCTAAAAGGGATTAAGCGCGCAGCCCTGTTCGAGTATATTTACGTTAAAAACACTGCACACTTGTGACTGCACTGCCTACCAAGCTCTTTGTTGTTGATGTACCAACAAAAGAGCACCTGCTGTTGCACTCTCACTAGTGATGTCGCCTGAACTACAAGGACATTGTCTAGTGAGTGAGCTGTTTTTTTTCCAAGGTGGCAGCACAACGGAGAAAGGAAGCAGGCTTTAAACTACACTGACAGAGATGTTTGAAAGTTTGAAGTAAGATGGGACTGGTTTTGAAATGGCTGCACCTCCTGATTTTTGTGTTTTTAATCACAATAGGCAGAATAAGCAGCATCTGTCTGGCTTTGGTATTTGTTGTTTCAGGTTGGGAGAGCAGTACTACAGAGATGCCATGGAGCAATGTCATAACTACAATGCCAGGCTCTGTGCTGAGAGGAGCGTCCGAATGCCGTTCCTTGACTCTCAGACCGGTGTTGCTCAGAGCAACTGCTACATTTGGATGGAAAAGAGACACAGGGGACCAGGTGAGACGCTAAAACATGTAGTGTGCCACAAAATGCACTGTAAGCCTCCCTACATGATTTTATTTTTAGTCTGCATGTTGCATTTGTTAAAATATTCCCAGCAGTTCTTGTGAAAGTGGACTAAATTGTTTTATTTGTCTTTAGAGTGAAAGCTTCTTATATACAACAAACTTTTTTTCCAATAACAAAGTGTAATTTAATCAAGCTTGCAGCCAAGTCTGCCCTCTTGGTTTTAAATAAGAATGCTAATTATGCTAACAAGGCAAATGCTATTTCTAGGGAATTGAAGTACAGATTTTTTTCCCTGTCAGTTTGTCAAAAACCTGATAGGTTCTTTATTGAAATAGGTTCAGTGTTGTATAAATGGATCTGTTCTGATGCCCCTCAGGCATGGCTCCAGGGCAGCTCTACACCTACCCATCCAGGAGGTGGAGGAAGAAAAGACGCTCTCATCCTCCGGAGGACCCCCGGCTTATCTTCCCTCCTGTCAAGTCAGGTACCACAGCATTCAGCTCATCCTCCATGTCAACCTTTTTAAGAAAAAAGTTATAAAAGGCTGTCTTTTATCTTATTGTCTTAATGATAATAATTATTTGTTACTGAGAGGTTTTGCTTAAAGTGTTTTTCTCTTATTTGTGTTGTATTCATAGAGGTAGATATTGGACTGAAGAAGGATGCTCTGTTATCAGCGGACGGCAGCAGCCTGGAGGCCCTGCTTAAGGGCGACTCCTTGGAAAAGCGGACAACCACAGAGCTCCGAGGGTCTGAGGAGGATTCAAACCAGAGTGATTACACTGGAGGACTCAACCCTGCTGCTCGGATTAGAAAGGTTCTTGTTTTCAGCATAAAGAGTCAAGAAAATGATTGGACTTTTTAAATTATTTGCCTTATTTTCTCATTGTGTCGTTGCCTCAACATAGAGAATCCTTGAGCCAGATGACTTCATGGATGACCTGGATGATGAAGACTATGAGGAAGACACACCTAAAAGAAGAGGCAAAGGGAAGGGAAAGGTAAATACCTGCATGTGTACATGATGACTACACTTTCCACCCCAACGCTGTGTGTGTGTGTGTGTGTGTGTGTGTGTGTGTGTGTGTGTGTGTGTGTGTGTGTGTGTGTGTGTGTGTGTGTGTGTGTGTGTGTGTGTGTGTCATCTTGTCTGTTGACTCTAATAATGTCTCTGTCCTCAGGGTCGAGGAGTGGGCAGTACCCGTAAGAAGTTGGATACAGCAGCACTGGAGGACAGAGACAAGCCGTACGCCTGTGACAGTGAGTCCTGAAGGGGGAGAGTAGAGGATTTGACCTCGGGTCCGAGCAGAGGGTCACTGCAGATGTTAATAGCTGCAATGTTTGTAATCTAATCAAGCAAGACTTTGCCAAAGTCCTCACTCTTAGCGGTGTAACGGTACACACAATTCACAGTTCAGTACAGCAGGAAAAACAAAAAAATGTAGGAAATGACCTTTTTTAAAATTTAACAGTAGTTCATTAGTTCTGTTCAGTTCTTACTGTAACAGTTAATGCACTCAAATACTGACCTGTTGTCAGTAATACGATAAAAATTGATAAAATGTCAGTATTGCTTCATCGTAACAGTCTGAGTTATTGACAATTTCTCAACAGCTGCAGATTGCACTCTTTTATATAGGACACCATATGTTTAAAGGTCCACTGTGTAGGGTGGGGTGTCCTCTAGCATTGTTATTTCATTGTTGCTTCACCCTTCCTTTCCTATTGTGGAAGAGAAACTACAGTGGCAAAAAAATGGCCCTATCTAGAGCTGGGTTTTTTCTGTTCTCGGCTACTGTAGAAACATGGTTGCTCAACATGGTTGTCACCCTAGAAGACGACCTGTAGTATCTATAGATATAAAATGCTCATTCTAAGGTAACAAAAACATGACAATTCCTATAATAAGTTGATTATACACTATTGAAAAATACCTATGCATATTATATTCCATTTCTACCAGTAAAGCCTCTTAAGTGTTACACACTGGACCTTTAAGTCCTGTATTTTGTATGGTTGCATATCCGCAGTGATAAACACTGTGTATAGTGTTAGTTATTGCTTTGGCACGGTGCACATCTGCAGTGAGTGGCTGCCAGTCTGTTTTTGTCTCATTCCACTGATGGACACATTCGGGTGATGCCGTTGTAAAAGTGTTCCCACGGTCATACCCGACTTCATTTCAACAATGTTGACACTGATCGCTGCCCATTGAGCTTGACTAGTCCAACAAAGCCAACTAGCGTGCTGACAGACAAGGCTTTCCAGGTAAAACTGGAGCCCAAGACTATATATGTTCCCTGTGTGTGAGTAGTAGACATTAACAGGCTACTTTGACAGTAATTGTTAAGGTCACAGGGTGTGACGAGGCAGTCGCCTACCAAACCGAACGTCCTGAAACAAATACACGTACCGTTACACCGCTATTCTTTATCACCTTCCTTTTCATCATCTCCCCTTTCTCTTAATGTATACCATCATCTTTCTTGCTCTTTGTTAGACTTCCTGAATCTGGTATTTGTAAGGCTAGCTTAGGCTCAGCTCTGTTATTTTTTGTTGTTGTTTGCCATTGTGATATCATTACATTTCTTTAACTTCAAATCTTTCCACCCTTAGAGGTGGAAATGTTTCTTCCACTTCTTTGGTATTGTCAGACTGTGTATCTGTACTGCTTGATGTGTTTTTTCCTCTTTTGTGAAGCATTTTCACTTTCAGCTGCAGTTCTCAGTAGGGCAGCACTGACTGACTGATCGATCCTCTGTCGGTCTATGAGCCTATTTCTCTGAGTCTCTGTCTGTGCTCTCTCTTCTCCTTCTCTTCTCTCTTTCAGACACTATCAAACAAAAGCATATTTCAAAACCTTCTGAAAGAGGTATATTTCTCTCATTCCTTTTTTACTCCAGTCTGCCTTGTCTTTTGTCTTCACTGCCTGTGTTTTGTTTTGTTATGTTTTTTTCTGTCTGTGTTACCAAGTAGATTTGCTCTTTGTGTAGTTCAGTTCATAGGGTAAATGTTTTGTTCTGCACAATTTACTTAAATGTGATTAACTCGATTTAGACAAGGTCAAGACCATGTTATTGTACACCCCAATTAAACTGTAGTCTGTAATCAGTCAAAGATATGAGCCGACTCAGCTTACAAAAGATAAGCTGTGGCCCATGAAAGTAATTTTTTCCCCTCAATCTGGCCCTGAACTTCCCACAGATTTAGATAAGCTAGAAGCTGGAGCCTGCTGCTGTTTTTTCTCTCTGTGCTTTTTGTCTTTTGTCTCACAACTTCATGTGTACAATTTGACTGCATTATAGTTTTTCCCTTGCCTTTTTTCTTTAATTCCTCTTTACCACCTCTGCACCCTGTAAAGTCTGATTCCACGTTCCATGTATTAGAGTGAACTGCTGCTTTGGCTCCGAGTCAGTTTGATATCTGTTCAAACTTTTTGAGGGGGATGTTTTTCCACTGCACACTATCACTTGGCATGTGACTAGCTCTGTCTTTGGCGCCTTCGCTAAAATGCTCTGAAGAAACGTGTCCCAGGGAGGACTCACTCCTTTAGATGACAGTTAAAGAAATAGGTTAGCCTTTGAGGAAGTGAAAATGAGAGAAAGTATGGAAGTGAAAGAAGAACTACTTTGTCTTTGCGTGTTATCTTATGACAAACCTCACACACCCCCTGTGACAGCGGCAGTACACAGTGGCATCTTTGTCCTCCCTAAAGCCAGTACATCCTCCTTACACAGTCCCGCTGGCATCTCTCACCACAGTGATTAATGGATTAGTAATTCAGATCAGAAAACTCAATATTCAGAGCAGTATGGAGTTAGAATATTTTCACTGCAAATCTACAGAGATCATATACACTTAAACATAATTTTTTTAAAAGATAGCTGTATGAAGTCAAGTGAAACAAAACAATTACTTTTTTCTCAGTGTAACATAGTCATTAGATAAACACTGCTTAGGTAGTGCATGTCTTAAATTGAAGAAGTAAAAACTATTGTAAAGGTCACTTGAGCAGTTACTCCTTTGTCTCATTTACCGACTGCAGATGTGCGGTGCTCACGGTGGCTGAGATGATGTCCTAGTACTGAGCTTAAATACATAGCTACCACAGAGCTCCGGCTCATGTTCTTCATACTCCTAAAGCTCATCACCATTCTTTACCTATCCCTCTAATTTCATTGCCATTATGTGTCATTGTGGTGATCCAGATATTAAACAAAAAAGGTGGATATCACAGAAGCGCTTTGGTCGGTCCCAAACGTATCGTTACCTCACCACTTCAAAGCCGTGTGTGGTAAATTCTATCATAGCACTCCACCAACTGAGCATTACATTTCTGCTAGATTTTCGGGCTCAGGGTTGACTTTAAAACCTACTTAGTTGGACTGTGTTACTGTAGTTAGTGAAGTTCCCCTTTTAAGGCTATAGAACAGACATTGAACACATCTACAGTCTGATTATGTTTGCCTGTATGGGCTGTGTAGCTAAATCACTGACATTTTTTAACAGTTATGGACATCCTTGACCCTGTACATGTACAGTATATAACATTATATCTAAAGTAGGAAACTGTAGGGGTTTGGTTGCTACGGTTAGAGTCACTAAATTCTCTGAAAATACACCCAAAAGTCCTTGTATCAGCACAGAATAGAGCCACTAAATACAACAATGTGGACAGTATGATACAATAATGTAATGTAATGTAATAAAGTATGTCTATTACACTCAGCTATACCAGACAGCAAAAATAACTAGTCAACCTTTCATCACTGACTTTGTATAACATTGACTTCACTAATGTATTCTTTGTTTTCATACACGTTATGTTTTCTGGTTTTGGTGGCAGTCTGTGGGAAGCGCTACAAGAACCGTCCCGGCCTGAGCTACCACTATGCCCACTCCCACCTGGCTGAGGAGGAGGGGGAGGAGAAGGAAGAGATGGAGATCAACGAGCCTGCCCTGCCAGTGCCCGACGAGCCTAAAAGTAAGAGATCAGTCACTGTCGTCAGATTGCCGGGTTCAATGTAGAGCTGGACTGTACTAGAGACTGAACATTGATGCTCTCTGGGTGCTTTCATCTTGTTTCTCAGCTCCCAAGAAAGGTCCAGACGGTATCGCGTTGCCTAATAATTACTGTGATTTCTGCCTGGGAGACTCCAAAACCAATCATAAGACTGGCCAGTCAGAAGAGCTGGTGTCCTGCTCCGACTGTGGACGCTCAGGTGCGTTAGAAACAGTTTGCTGCTTGGAATAGAGCAGCAACTTGAAAAATAGTTAATTTTGTTAAGAGCAGGAATCTTTGTGATAAACATTTTTCTACTCTCAGGCCACCCCTCCTGCCTGCAGTTCACTCCTGTAATGATGGCCGCTGTGAAGACGTACCGCTGGCAGTGCATAGAGTGCAAGTGCTGCAACATGTGCGGCACCTCGGAGAATGACGTGAGTTTACCGTCATTCACATATTGCATGTATTGTTGAGTGCTGAAGTCTAATGTGTGCTCTTGTTGTCCCATTTCTTCCAGGATCAGCTTCTGTTCTGTGATGACTGTGATAGAGGCTATCATATGTATTGTCTCAACCCACCCATGTCTGAACCTCCAGAGGGTAAGTCCACCACATGTGATCTACTTAGTAGAAAATAGCTTGATCTCAGGTGCTGGGTAAAACCAATCTCAAAAATGTGTGTAGTGTATCAAAAAAGGGCCTTGGTGCCAGGGATGTAGTACTAGGAGTGTGTAGTTTGAAAAGCCAAAAATATGTGGGATATTTTTGACTTTTCAGCCGTTTTTTAAGGCTCAGCAAAGGAGAAATAATACCTGCACCCGAACAGAGTAGACCCAGCTTGTACAACATTAGTAAAACCCACACTGTCTGAAATGATATGAGGCTTTAAATGAGTCAGACAACACTGAAATGTGTCCACTCGTGTCGCTTAACAGCCCTAAAGGTATCCGTGCTGAATGTTTTGTATTTATTCTGCATCCTTAATAGCTTCTGAAAATGTATTGGATTCTTGTAGGAAGGGTTGGGTAGCAATTAAAAATGTTTTGATATTGAGGTTCAATATCCAGCCTTACTTGTAGGATGGCTTCCCTTTTATAAATCAGTTAGTGTGCTGCAGCAGAGTACTTTGGGCTCATGGACCATACAGCTTTAAACAACTCCGGCGTTAATTCATTTTCTCTTATTATTTTGCCATTTAGGGAGCTGGAGCTGTCATCTATGTCTGGACCTCTTGAAAGACAAGGCATCCATATACCAGAACCAGAACGCCCCACCATCATGATGGTCGCCCCCCCCCCCGCACACACACATCACTCAACCGTCCCACCGCAGTATGGTTTACCCTTCAAGATAGATGATAAACTCCCCTGACGAGCTGACCGTGGAGGGAGTGTGTCCAGAACAGACAATAAATCGTGAAAAGGGAAGCATCCCTTACCATTGGCCTCAGTTAGCTTCAGATATGACTGTTGCACAGTTCCAAGCTCAGATTCAGCCCCATCGATTTTTATTTTCACCTCTTTGCCACACCAATTTGAGCAGTACTAAATTTCAACAAGATACCCTGCATAAATAGCCAAAATCTGACTTCCTGTTCAGGTTTTTTTTTTTACACATACGCCTACACAAAGTTGCTTTCCTTCTCTATCCTGCAATGTACTGATTTTATGACAAGAGCAGAAATAGAGCTTTGAATCAAGTAGCATGCCTTTGCTTGCTCATCTTAAAAAGAGACATTTTATAATATTTATATATTTCTATGGTATATAATAGTGTTAAGTATGTACAAATTGGAAAAAAGAATGGTCATGTAATGGTCTTTTAATTAGTGCCCATCTCATCATTACATGTTCCTTTATGGCACTGCTGACATTTGGGGATTCACTTGAAAAGAGTCAAAGAGATCTGCTGAGACTGCAAATGATTTTCCATCTCATCCACTGCCACTGGCCACACACTGGCGCACACAGAAACTTTAAAACAAAACAGGAACTATGAATAGAAACCCCCGACAGGCTCCTCAGAGTGGCTCCAAAGGCTGAAGGACTTCAGGGATGGCAGGTTAGACTTTAGTCAAGTTGTTGACTCGATTATCCTAGCGGCGGATTGAGCTGCACAGAGCTCAAGAGGATGCATATTGAGGGTGTTTCATTCAGACTTTGGGGCCTCTGACACGAGGCTGTCACTGGACTGAAAACTGTCTTCAATCTGCACACCTGCCCTTTGTTTGACAGAAGTGATAATGTTACAATTCTAATGATTATTCCAAAAAACAAATCCTACTTGCATTATCAGCCAGGTAAAGGGATAAAAAGCCTTCATTGCTGTGTTCTAGCAGTTTGCTGATCATGCACCATATCCAACGTCTGCTGATGTTGTGACACCACTAGATTATTTTAATATAATTGAGGACTATGCGACCTTGCAGATGGTCACTTGCTGACAATATTAAAGCAATATAAGGGCTGCTGTAGGATGCTGGGAGTCACTTTAGGCTCTGTTGGCAGATAATGTGCGATAATGTAAATTTTCTTTCTCAGAAAATGCTATAACAGATAGGGGACTATGGCAGCAATTATGGATGGCTCCATATTGTAAAAAAGAGATTATAATGTGTATATGTATAGTCCTATGGAGAAACCGACCTTTTTGTTACTGCTTTCATAGTTTAATTATGCAACGGTTTCCTTCTGTGGAAAGGCTAAAAGAAAAAGTCTGGCTGAACTGCTAAAGCAGTTACTTTACCTCAAACAGAAACAGTATTTAAAGGGTTGAAACATGCTGTTGATAGATGGGACAAAGGCAGTGGGATGAATAGCAATGACAGCTACAGTGTCTGCTTCAATAACTACATATTCTACAGGTAAACAAGTGCATGCTCCGTAATTGTTTGCACTCATATGCTACGTAGTCGTCTCAGCGTTAGGTTGGCAAGGGTGTTGGGGAAGTGGTGTAATATAAATTAACCATGCTTTCATGTCGTTTCCAACTAACAATTACTAAAGCATTACACAAGTATAACTCGGTTTATTTTCTCATCATGTTTAAACTTATTTAGAGACAGTGGCTACTAGAATATTTTGCTGGTTTTTGTATTCATGGATGATGTTTATGTACCTGATGTGTGGGACATTTTGGGACTTAAATGGAAGTTGCTTACTAGTTAATCCTGTGATCCGGGTCTCACCTGAGCTGCTCTCTTCCAAAGCTTGAAACAAGAAGTAAAGCCCATAATGTGATTAAGACAAATTCTGGAGCTGCACCATCCACACTGAATGATTAAGTAATAATGGACCCAGTGTACACCTTCTAGGCCATAAACAAGAAGGAAGTCCACCTGTTGTCATAGTATAATTGTATATAGTTATTATTTTTTAAAGATGTTTTGTTGTTTTGGGCTTTTTGCCTTTATTGGCTTGGACCAGCTAAAGAGAGCGAGAGAGAGAGAAAGAGGATGAGATGCGGTAATTAATCGGATTCAGTACATGGTGCGCACCCCATTATTTTTTAATATCAGATTATGGTCCTCTGGTCTTTAGCTTTGGGAGAGAATTGTTCATTACGACAAATAATGTTTAAACCAAGATCCTAGGTTTACATAGTAGGTGAATTCTCTTAGAGTGGACTATTATTTTGATTGTGATGGAATGTTTTATTGTACGAAATTTGTCTTCAGGAAAATAAAATACTAGGCACTATAACCTGCTGGGTCTCTTTGTCTTTTTAAATGAGCAAATGAGAAATGAATGATGGGTTGGGATCATAAATATACTGGCAGATCTAAAAGACCCTGAGAAGCACATTATTGCAACCATTTTTGTTGAGATAATGTGCTAAATTTGAACTTAGTGAGCGAACATGCACAGTAGCAGCCCCCTGACTTTGTTTGACCTGATCTGTAACGCATGTTTACTCCTGCATGGCAAAATGGCTGCAGTAAAAAAAGAAAATTATTAATCTTTAATACATCTGAGTGTATTAGTTACCCAAGGCTATATTCTTGGGCCTCTTCTGTTCTTCATGTTCCCACTAGCTCAAAACTGTTGGAAACCCAATTTGCAGTGGCTTTTAAATAATTTCTGTATCACAAAAGATTTTAACAAAATCTGCTATATCGAAAGTTTGTGCATGATTAACATTTATAATTTAAAAGATACAGAGGATCTCCTGGGAGAGGATTTGTGAATTAAGCAAGCTACATATTTGTTTAAGTACTGTACTGTGTTATATATATATATATATATATAGTAGGAGAGGCAGTGTAGAAAAAAAATCCATTAAAGATCTGTGTGTATTTTCTGGCTTACTCCATTGGATGGCAGTCATGGACTAAACCTGCAGCTACACTTCCATCCATTCACTATCACTGCTACCTACAGTAAACAAACACATGAAACAGATAAATTGTTATTGCACAGTTTTTTTATTGGACTCAAGATACAACAGTCTTCTATGATCCCATACGAACTCTAAGCAATACATTTCAACTAAAATATCTTCTACCTCCAACATCACAGCAGAATATACAGAACATTCTTTGAGTGCTGTGAAACCACAACAAGAACTGGACTTCAGCTGTTTGGTTTGAGGCTATTGTGTCTCTCTGGAGCCATGACGAGCGTCTTGAGATTATTACTGGAGTTGAATAAGAGCTTACAGCAGAGACTCCCAACAGCTGAGTGAAAGAACACGTTAGCATCACAAACAGCCGCCAATCATCTCCTGGCAAAACACAATGAGTTACTGATGGTTGAGAATGATGATGATGAAAATGATATCCAATTGATAAATCGGTCAGTCCATCCAAGGGCAGAAAACTGCGACAAATGTCAAAACCCAAGGTGGCATGGTGGTTGTTTTGCTCAACTCGCTGTCCCAAAGAGAAAAGTTGCAAATTGTCACATATGACAATCTGTAACTAGTGACTCTTTGGCCTTTTTGCTTGATCAAAGAATAACAATTAACTGTTTATCATAATTTTTGTTTTTCTGTTGATCCACGATTACTCGACCAATTATTTCAGCACTAATTAAGAGTTTTCTGGACAAGCAGGAGGCCTTGGAACAAGCTACCTCCATTAAAGTGTATCTTCTGTACTTGGGCAGTTACAGGGTAACTAACACATTTTCTTTTCTGCTCTACCATTTTAACTGATTTTATCTGAATAATATATGGAAAGAAATGTTTTTGAGACAATTTAGTGGAATAGGTTATACTTATACTAATTAAGTAGCATTTCTCTATTTTGAGAAGAAACAGCTCTATGTCTACACTGTACATTTAAATTCCTTAAGAAATTTAGCACAAGAACATTGCAGACATTTAAATAGACTGTGTCTGTTTGAAGTGAAACCTCATTTCAACTACAAAAACTCAGTTTTAACTGTTTTACACTCACAATTTTTAACATTTTTAATTAATTTTGTTATTTAAACACGTAAACGGGATCTTAATTTCCTGTGTTCCCATGAAATAAGGTTCATGAGTGTCAATAAATCAATACTGAAATAAAAGAAAATCTTAGTGCTGAAAATATTTTAAGACACTACTGCAATTGAATTAATAACAGAGTGCCAGTCTCCCATTACAGCCTTCATAATCCACTAAACAAACAGAAAATATGCATCCATTCTGTTACAATATTTCACAAGTAGGCTTACATTGTGTATTTTTTAAAAATATCAAAAACACCACAAAACTAGTCTCTCAGTCAGACATTCATTATTGTAAAACTATGTAAATTATTTAACATTTACAAACAGTACAAAGTATTGTCAAGTAGACAATTATAATAATTATACAGCCATTTGAAAAAAAGACAAAAAGATTGCCCAAATCCCTTTGGTGGAACATTTAGTCTTGAATTCATGATATTTTCTGAATGTGTCCAGATTGCTGATTTTTCATACGAGGACAGAGGAGCAGCAGGTACATATGAAGACAGAATATGCATCATTATTTGCCATAAAACACGCACAGATACAGTATTCGTATGTGTGAGTATACAATGTGCTGCTGCTGTCCTGATCGGAGTGTGTGAAAATGTTCTACCAAAGGGAATTAATCTCATAAAATGTACAAGAAACAATACAAACATCGATTGTCGTACCTAAACGTGAAAGTATTACAACTCACCTGCACTCAAAGTCATCAAAGTCTGTGACACTCATTGAAGTACATTATATATTAGATTTCATAGTAATAAGACCTCTAAAAATACTGTAACACTAGGTTAATCTCTTTACGTACATTAAGATGTACCAATACTTGCTTATAAGCAGTGAGGCAAAATCGTCAAAATATTGTCACAATAATGTGCATTTTCATATCAGTGTTTCTATTCTAAAAGTCTCCTGACACATACATGGTGTCCTTTACTGTAGGACTAAAGTACCTCACTGTCTGTTCAGATGTCTTTCGCTGTAATTCAGTGCCGCCTGCTACATTTGAATGCATGTAAATATTTCCACACTAATGGTAAAGTCAGCTAGGGTGTACATTCAGAACATACTACGGTATTCAAACCTAAAGCCAACGGACAATATTAATCTGATAAGAGGTTTTTTTTTGACATGGCAGATTAAAGTACCATATTTTAACATCTCTGAGAAAAGAGGTTTCAACCTTTTAACCTAAAGCTGTTAATATAGTTGAGATGGCAACTAAAACCACGGTAACATGTCAAATATATATTAATATACACATAAATTCCTTAAATCCTTCAGGTATCTTAATTCATTTGCCTCCTCAAATGAACATAATATGCATTTCACCACATTTTCACTATGTGCTTCAGCCTCTTGACACACATCCTGGTTCTGTACTATAGCCTAGAAGATTTTTTATGGGTAGTCTATCTTTAATGTTTAATTTCCCCTTCCGTAAATCACAACTGCAGCTGTCTGCAACCTGTGCATATAATGCTCAAACTGAGTAGTGTTGCCAGAAACTATTGAACACTCCTCACCAGCAGAAACTGTTGGGGAACGATATGTGGATACAGCAGCAGAGGAGATGCAGGCTAATAAATGTACTCATAAATAACTCTTGTTTGCTGTGTTGTTGATGAAATCAACTAGCTAGTTATCCTGTAATTAATTTTCTTGGCAGCAGCAGCTTTTGAGAACATTCAAAAATATAAATAAATAAATAAAACAGTATACTCAGATGATAAGAGCTGCGGTCACAGGAAGCAACAGTCCCTGAAAGGACGAGACCCTTGTGTCATTATGACTTTAATTTATGCTCACTGCACGGGATATTAACGGCTAATGTGATGTGCATGATCTACATTTGTCAACAAGTAAAAGGGTGTATGTGTGCTTTTAGACAATACAATTAAACTGAGCCTGTAATATTGCTGTAAATCCAAACTTCTAATGGCTTATTGCTTTAATGAAACAGTGATTCATCTTTTTTTCAAAAAAAAATAATCATCACGCAGAAGCAGTTTAGATTTGTAGTGTGCTAGCCGGTTGGCTGGAAAGCTAACCTGGCGAAGTTTTAGCGGGAAGTGACGTCTGTCAAAACTGAAGCTTTTGGCAAAGACTGTAGAAAAGGCCACGAGATTCATTTGTGATATATTAAAGTATAAAACAAACATGTCGTTATAGGGTGGAAGTTTTTAGTGGTGGAAAGCCCTACCGCAGTTACGGTAGCGTATATCGTTCTCGTCGAAATTTTGACAGTGTGCAACAACATAGCTAATGAGGATCCTAAAAATGTGTTTTCTAAATAATGTTCTGATTACTGACGTCACTTCCTGTTTCTTATTGTTACTGAAGGCTTCCATCTGCCATGTCATTACATTTACAGTCACCTAATTTGATACTTAAAAGACTGCTTCCAAACACTGCACTGTACGAAAGAGGAGAAAAAATTGTGCTACTGTTAAAAGACTTCAGAGTGTATTTGTGTAGTTGCATGAGTACAGTATAACCCTAGTGAATCCTACAGAGGTGCACAGAAACTCTCACAAGGAACACAACAACGCTGTCACTCTTTGTTGTTTTTTTTGGCTTTAGGAAAGAGGACGTGTGATAGAAAGATAGGTACTGAGCATGTTGTCAGGGTTGACCTTTGACCTTAAGGCCTCACATCTGCCCGAAGAAGATGGAGCAGAGCAGGAAGATGGCATAGAGAAACAGCAGACCCAGACCCAGCCGGCGATCCAGCCTCCAGTGGTTCAGATGAACACTCATAACCTGAAAGCAGAGAGACAGTGTGAAAGAGTCACCTGGAATAATTTTAATAATTTTTTTTTTTTTTCAAATACACATTTTAATGTCTGTGCAGTACGAGACACTGAGATATTATTATTATTATTTTTTAAATATTTGATACCTATCCCTTAAACCGCCATTATTTTACTTTTTGGTCACTTGGGCAGTGTAACAAGCTGTAAACAAACTATTCACATATTATAAAGTTAGGGAGACTGTGCTAGCAGTTACAGTTACAGTTACCTATTAAAAGGTCCAGTGTGTAACATTTAGGAGGATCTATGGTCAGAAATGGAATATAATGTATAGGTATGTTTTCATTAGTGTATAATCACTTTAAAATGAAAATTGTTGTGGGAGAGCAGGTCCTCTTCTAAGGAACTACCATGTTTCTACAGTAGCCCAGAATGGACAAATCAAACACAACACCACAGCACCCGGTACCTCTAACCACCGCTGATTAAGACTGCTGAACTCAACCTGCTATGCACAACTTCTTTGCACAAACTTTACCTTGCAATAATTGCACATGTACAGTTGGTTATACAGTGTTGAAAATATTTTTGCACGCCATATTTCTTACTGCATATAGTGTATATATTTTCTATTATATCTTTATAATATTATTTATATATATTTTATTATTCTTTATTGTATTTTTACACTTCTCTACTTTTTGCACTACATTTACCCTGTGCTGCTGTGTCAAACTCAAATTTCTCCCACGGGGGATCAAAAAAGGAACATCTTATCTTATCTGGTTCTTGGTAGGGCCTGTCATGTTTTTCGCGGCCACTATAGTTTCTACTACCTCAGTCTGCCATTTGGGGCGGAGCAGGTGAGTTTTTTTTAGCTGAAAACAGGAAACCAGGCTGAGAGAGGTTAGAGTGAACAGTAAGGCGGCGGGTGTAAAACCAAAATACTTGACTGAAAGTTGCTGAAACGAGCGGAGGGAAACTGCAAAATATTGATGAGTGCAGCTTAGTGCAGTTGTTATGTTATATGTACTGAGAAGATTTTTATTTATTTGACCTATAACAGTCTTATTTTGCATACTGATAACAGGAATCAAAACAGCTATGCAACAATTGGCATGTGACGTTTGCTCACCGTCAGAAACACAGATGCCAGCAGCAGGATGACAGAATACACCAGTCCTTTATTATTTATGGAGACCTGTGGGGAGAAAAAAAACAAGCAGATGTCACTATTTTATGACCATCTAACAGAAGTGAGAACCCCCCAAATATCAGTTTTGACAGCTCTCTCACACACATGCAGATATCAATAAACCAGGAAAATCACAGACCGAAGGAAAAAAGAGAGATTGGTAATGTAGGGAGATAAAGTGTATGCATACTGATGATCCATGGTCCACCACAATGGTACGTAAAGCCCAGGGGAAGCCTAAACCCAGCAGGATGTCAAAGATATTGCTTCCTATGGAGTTAGACACTGCCATGTCCCCCATGCCTGAAAAGAGATGGGAAAGGTGAAAGAGAAATGCTGAATTGAAGCACTTGCACCACAAAGAGAGAACAGGCAAAAGCCTTGGGGTTGGAGATTCATAATAATTCTTTTTTTTTTTTTTTTTTTACCTTGTCGAGCTACAATCAGACTTGCCATGCAGTCTGGCACGCTGGTCCCTGCTGCCAGGAAGGTTATGCCCATGATGTAGTCTGGGATGCCTAGTGTATAGCTGATGATGGTGACCTGAAACATTAGGACACATCGGAGTGAGTGATGTGGTATGGCTTGTACTGTATAGTAAACACAGAAATATCTTCACCTTTCCACAGTAAGCAGAAAGTACACAAAGGTGGTGCATCCCCAAATAACGATCATTCTGTCCTATAAACCTTTCAACTGGCATTGTACATATGAACACACATATTAACATCACGTCTTAGTTTCATAAGCCTACTGTAGATTATAACTGTACTGTTGTAGTAGACACCATGGAGGCATCTGAGATCAGTTTTTGGTGATTTTTGTTGGCAAATATTGTTGTTGTTTCAGAATTGGACCTCACTGTCTGTCTGTCTCCTTACCATCCACACCATGAGGTAGGAGAAGATGGCGATCCACAGGGTGGAGGCCATAAAGGTGACCATGAACCAGCGGTGCCAGCGCGGCAGAATACAGTTAGGCACAGTGCAGTAGAGCAGGAGGCCAAGAGGCCATGTGATCACCCACTTCACCCGCGCACAGCAGCTACCTGTGAAGAGCAGGAAATCGAGTCAAGGAAGAGACTTGTCAACCAGGGATTAGCTACGGCACCAAAATATTTCAGTTTCAAGCAGCTTTTAACTGACATAAATTAATACATTTATATAAATAAATAAATGTAATAAACTGTCAAATTGTTGACAAATTGTGCTTTTTAAGCATAAGAAATCTTCTATATGATTGTGTTCAAGTTTAAGTGATCCTTCAACTGTTGATCATGAATAAACTTCAACTGATAACAGCCCTACCATACAGAGTCAGGGAAAATTTGCTATTGTAAGTATTTCTAATGCGTTTTGTTCAAAATTAACAACATTATTAATTAAAACCAATATCACACCATGAAAGAAAACAAATCATTACAGGTTAAATCTTACTTGCACTTTACGACTCACCTGGTATGCGCACAGGACTGAAAATCCCATCTTCATCGTCCTCCTCCTCTGGCTGGCACACCTCGACCCCCGGCTTGTCTCCTGAATCTGCGTCTCCTATCCCGGGTCCCTTGCCTCCGTTCTCCAGACTGCAGGAGCCCGTCCTCTTCAGGCTGTTGCTGGTCGACCCCGATCGTGACCTGGGGCCGGCCTCAACGTCCCGCTGGATTTTCGAACCCTGGATCAGCCTCTGTCTCTGCAAGGACAAAACAGGAAGTTCTTGCTGTAGAGCTCCAAGAAGATGTGTATTATACTGTCATGAAATGTGTCAAATACCTCACTGATGACCACACGTCCTGCCATGGAGAGCCTGGTGCGGGGGGAGAAGTGGGGGGTGATCATGATACGCAGGCCAGCATCAGAGAAGGACAGTTTGTGGGGGTTAAGGATGAGAAGCTCATCCACCATGACGACGGGTGGAGGCTCCTGACCATTAGCTTGGCCTGTGAAAAGGTGGTTGTATATGAGGCCGTTTTTGAGAGCAGTGAACAGACACAAAGCAGCAAATAAAAAAAAAGGTTATTCTAATGTCTTCTGACCTTTGTTGAGAAGCACCATGGAGGTGTTGCATGCAGAGGCATCCTCTATCGTCTTGTCCTCTCTGTGATCCTCTGGACCGGGGAAGCACAGCCTGCCGCTCCTGAGCTGACGTGTCACAAACGCCAGAATCTGGGAGTTGAACCTGCAACCAAACAGATACTGTTTGCTTACAGCCATATTTACCATAAGTGGGGTTTGTCCTTTATACAGGTGGGGAGGTGTGATGACTGATGAGGTTTGGTCTTTTTAATTAACTTACTTCATGATTATAATGTAGACTCCATACATGGTCATGAGGAGCAAGGACTCCCACCTGCACAGCAAGCAGTACATTTGTGTTAGTCTGGTCTGACAAACCACAAATTTACAAAGTTGGTGTTTGCATTCCCAGTGAACCTACATTCAAAATTCCACGTCACATAATATATTATATTAATAAATAATATTGTATGTTAACTTTTAGTCATTCTGTAATGGCAGTGGTGTCTCTAATACCTTGAATCAATATAAATGTGTAAATAAATAGAATTGATTTTTAAATATTTATGATCTGACTTATGAAGCCTAACATTTCTTATTATATAAGAAACATAAAGGATCTCATTGTTACAATTCATAAAGTAAATCTCTATTTAAATTAGTAAGTATGAGTAGTAAAGGAGTAGTAATAACCAATCTGATGAAGAATGTTGTTATGTCAGTATAAAGAGTAGTTTTCATTATCTGAACTGACCTCTCCTCCTCCTCTACTCCACTGTTCTTCATCTAAAATCATTAAATCTTTTAAAAAGGTCCAGTGTGTAGGATTTAGTAGGAATCTCTTGTTGCAGATTTCTTGTGTTGCCGCCAGCAGTGTCAGTCAAATCTGTACAAACTGCACCCACACAGTCCTAATGAAGCAGATCAGTTTTTGAATGTTAGACTAACTAAGGAAGAACTTTTATTGTTGCTAATTAAATCTTGAGCATTAAATGTTATAGAGAAATATTTCAAAGGCTTTAAGCTGGAGTCCCTGTTTATTTTCTTATGTTGTTCTCACAAAATACAAATAAGGGCACTATATATCAGTGATGAATCCACTGCGGCCGACATTAAGCCCATGAATAAATCTACTCTTTCATTAAAACCACTGACACACACTCCAATGGAAAGCCATGTTTTACAAGAAGGACCCGGGTCGACAGAATAGAATTTGGGACAGGCAGCTAAGAAGCTAAGAAGTCATCAAGAGCACCAAATAAGTCTTTTGGGAAAGGAAAGCTACACAAAACAAATCAACAGAACAACTATTTCCGATCAATCTAACAGCTAAGCTCCAAATCACTGATCACGTGTGAAGTGACGGCCGCTGATGACACACACCTCTTCCACGCAAATTAAACAAATGAAAAGTTATTCCACAAAAGATTATAAATTGAACTTGTTCCCCGTCGCCTCCGCTGACTCTGAAATGAGCCGCAGCTGACTGGTTATACATATGCAGATGTTTTGTTATTTGTCAGGTACAAATCAGGAACCAGAATCGATTTAACGTGTTGCACAATCACTGATTGTTGACCTTGCTGACAGGCTCATCTTCATGATTGTAATAACAGTCATTTGAGGTAGAGGTTGTTGACACCAATCAGAGCGTGAAAGGAGAGAGATGAATTTGTAGATCTGTGTCGGTATGAATTCAGCTACCTAGTAGGAAATGGGATCACATGATGCTTGCTCCGTCAATAGAGAGTAAATAGTAAATGGACTGTACTTGTATAGCGCCTTTCTAGAGAGATTAAAAAAAACTGAATTCGACGTATGTGAACTCACCAGACCACTTTGGCATCATAGATAACCTGGAGAGGGGAAAGAATAGATTCTTCAGAACACCATGGTGGACGTATAAAAGCTTAACATACATCAGTTCACTTTGATGAAAAGCACAGCTCACCATGATGAGAGTCAGCACAGCGAGGATGTAGTAGGAAGAATCTCTGAAAAGGGACCACCATGTCAGAATCACTGTCTGTTGAGAAGAGTTATAAATGTTAGTGTTCAGTTGGGGACCACTGCACGCATGTGTTGTCATGTTTTTTTCCCTACCTGGCCTGCAAAGATCCCACTCAGGCCAATGATGACCAGGATGTTGAAGACAGCCGAGCCAACGATTGTGCCGACTCCAACGTCTCCTTTAGTGATAAATACACCTAAAGGTTGACACAGAGAGATGGAGGGGAGGAAGTCAAATGTGTGCATTTAGTATCTGACTGTGTTTGGTTTCAGATTAGATCAAATCCCTGCAGTCTGTAATCGGCTTCTGACGACTTTTATTTTCACTTTTTTTTATTCTCACACACGCACACACAGAAACACACACAATCTTGCTCTTAGTCACTAACCTCTAAGAAAATTCCTAAAAATAAGTACAATCTCTTCTGAAGTTTTAAATTAGACTCTGCTGACATCTCCTGGAAGATTTTGGCACTGCAGAGGCTGGGAAGACTTTCAAATTCCAGCATTTCTCTGTTAAACTGTTGTGATTGAGTGAAACTTTAATTTTGGCATGCTTTCTTAAAACTGCCACAACTCTTACTTGCTGTTGGTTGGCTGAGCTACTAACCAATGAGAGAGGTGAAAAGCTCTGGAGCAGAGCTTCCTGCAGCCATAAACGTCGCCCCGGCCACATCTTCACTGAGCTGCAGGTTCTGCAAGATTTAAAAAACGACAGATGAGAATGAAATAAGAACAATCCAATAATGACCTGTTAAATTATGAAAAGTATACATGAAGGCTGGTTGGTGCCGTTTCCTTACCTCAGATATTTTCTCAAGGGAGGGGACAAAGTAGTCATCACAGACGATGGCCAGAGCGTAGAACATGTAAATGGCCTAGAGACAGAGAGGAGACACACATACACAGTCTGCCTTTTTTATAAAATTAATTAGTTACACGGCTCTTGGTTTGTAATATATGCTGGCTTCTGCTCATAATGATGTCAGCTCTCAGTGTGGCGAGTCAAGGGTATAAATAAAGAGAGAAGATATGCATAATGAGTGAAATACTTACACAGAGTGCATGCAGAACCACAGCCCCCTTCTTCCTCTGCTCCTTGGTAAAGATGTCCTCTGGAAACTCGTGGATGGCTGCGGGTGGGGAAAGACATCATGATAAACATGTTCCCTACTAAAATATACATTTTATTTAGAGTTAATTTATATTCCCACTGCGATACAGCCACTCTACAAGCAAGAATTACAGAAATAAAGTACAAACAGTCTATAAGATAAAGATGTAACTTAAAACAGCGTTATGGCCTCTGAGGCATTTGTTCATATTTGACCATCAGGAATACAAAAAGTTTCACTTGGGAATAAATTACATAATTGACTTATTATCCTCTTGCTTATGACATTTTTATTATTTTTTTAACCAAATATATTATGATGCCCTGCTTCCTTTTGGTGGCTCATGTATAATTACAAAGCCTCATTTTCAATGTATCACCTTCTTCCATTACACCCAGTCATTTCCAAATAAACAGAATTCATAAGTATAATTTTGTGTTATCATCCTCTGTGTCTTAATTTTAGACACCATTTCTTTCAGACATGCCACAGCCCAAACCACATCATGTAGACGCAGTAATTGTCTTGCAGTGAAGAGAGAGACAGGAAGTGAGGTGGAAGTGAAACTAGCAGCTGCTTCCTGTCTCTGTCTTTCCTCGAGTGTGAAAGAAAAAAGAAAAACTGTTAATGACAGCTTAGCTTCCCTCTGTTCCCTTGACGTTACAAAAGAGAGCCTCGAGAGTGTGGTACAGCTCCAATTTACAACTCTGAGTCGAGCAGGATGAATTTAAACTGCTGGGGAGCATGGAGCTATTAATAGCCCCTCTGCTGTGTGAGACAACTGTGGGTCGACAAGCACACAATAAGCACAGTGCAGCCGTCACGATGTATGCCGCACCGTGGCTGAATGGAAACTGAACAACAGACTGCATGGATTAGGAGAGGGTCCCTTGTGATCGGGATATGAGATTTGATCTTTGACACCGATGTGTCAGAGAGAGAGAGAGGAGGAGGAGGAGGAGGAGGAGGCCATATGGTCCTGAGGAGGGGGACAGTAATTTGGCTGTGTTCAGTTAGAAAATGTAAATGTTTGTGCAGTAATGTTTACAGATTTGTGTATGTGCCAGAGCGCAGAACTGCCTGTCTGCCTGCCTGGATGCTTATTGTGCCATAAACTCCTTCTTGTGCATCATTTTGAGGGCTAGAGTTGAAGAAAGTTTTTCCGAAGGTTGGCAGGGCACTGTATCTCTGTTTTCTGCTCTCTTAGAAGGAAAAAAAGAGCCTATTTTCTGCATGCCAGCTGTTATTGCATGGCAGGGCTTGTCCACTAAATCATCAAGGCTTAGCATGTAAACTTTCTGTCATCTTATCGCATGAAAGAGGAAGCCTGAATGTGAAGCTGCACGGCATGCGTCTTCTGAAGCGGCCCGTCAAGCTGATCAGCTGTTGGACATCTGTGCTCTACTCTGTGGCTTTATTTCTTTCCCCTTCTTCTCTGCGCCCCGTCCTGTCTAACAGTCCCTGGAAGCCTTCTTGTCTCCTCCTCCTCTGCCCCCAAACACAGACTCTCAGGTTATTCTGTCGCTGGAAACGCAGAGCTGCAACGTGTAGCTCAGATGGATGCTTTGAGGAGTTGCTCTGGTGAAGGCAGTTGCTATGGCGACCCTCTCCCTGGGGGTTGCTTTTTTTTTTTTCCATGGGTGGCAGTAGGAAGCCAAAGGCAAGGCAATTGCGTGAACAGTGAGAAAGGGGGAGGTGTATATGTGTTTCCCATGGTTAGGGTTTATGAAAAATGAAAAAAAAGAGAAGTGACAGCAGCTCTGGACCGCAATTTCTAAAAATATTTATTTTTCCTTACAAACCCTCAGGAGAGGTCTGAGAGAGCAAGGGAGGGGGAATAACGCCATAGAGACAGGAACAGTGTACTGGTTTGCTGATGGCTGCTGGACAGGAATGTGCTTTGCCAAGACTCTTATGCCGTGGTTTCACAACACCAGACCACAAACTGAAACCCTCGGCTTAAAGATGATCGCACATCTGCAACTTCCCAAATCAGGGATTTAAGCCAAATGTGCCATCAGCCTGATAAAGTCAGTAGTTTTGTAATCGGAGGTCGAGCAGTGAGCTTCAGTGAGTTAAGGAAAGATTTGGGCTGCAGTGTTTATGTGCAGTTACTCTGACAATACAAGTGCCTCTGTACATTCTAACATCACTTCTCTCTGTGCTAGGTGTCTTTTTACTGCCAGAATTACAAAATGCTCCCAGAACTCCTTCAGCTCTGATCTAGTTCTGTCTGTCACAGTCTTTACAGCATATCACATATCTTTGTTTCATTCCTACACAAGCTGAAATACTCAACTCCAATAATCCACAAGTGTAAATAGAGTCATTTATTTCCTCAAGCTTCTCACATTTATTTCACACAAACTGCGGTGAAACATAAAGGATTTACCTTTGTATGCAGCAGGAAGCAGACAGAAGGCAAATGTGAAGCTTTAATGAACTCGTTGAATCACTAAACTTACAATTATTCTACAATTTATCCAACAAGTTATAACTTTATATAAAAGATAAGCAGAAGACCAGATCAGTGATCTCCACTTAAAGCTCCAGAATGTAACATTTAGGAGGATCTTTTGGTTCAAATGGAATATAGTATTCATAGATATGTTTTCATTAGTGTATAAATCACCTAAAAATAAGAATTGTTGTGTTTTGGTTATCGTTAGAATAAATGTTTTTTTGCCAGATGGAAGCCGCCACATTGAACTGCCATCTTTCTACAGTAGCCCAGAACAGACATACCAAACACTGGATAGTAGTAGGGCCAGTAGATAGGGCCTTTCGAGTTTCCTACACACTGGTCTTTTAAAAGAGGGGGATCTGAATTGGACTATCTTTTAGAAAAATGCTAGGAAGCTTTTTAGGTCTATTTGCAATAAATTATTATTAAAGTATTAAATAGACTAAATAGACGCAAAATTGAATACAATAAAGTGGCTCTCCACTGAAATGTGCATGAAATGTGTATTGGCAAGATTCTGGCAATACAATGCATATCATGATACAGGGGTTATATTTATATATTGTGATATATTTGTGATACTGTAGGTAGCACATTACATTGTGATTCTCTTAAATCGAATTTTAGGAAACTAACAGAGTAGTGGGCCCTTTATGACTGCCTGTGTTCTTTGAGTTTACACTAGCAATACGTGCTTACCTCTTCCCACCCCAGTTTGAGTGGAAGAGTCAAATGGCCAAAGATAGATCACTGCTATGTGATGTTTGGGGGTTTAAACACAACACAAAATCTTCGCAAACATTATTAAATGTGTTTAATATCATGTGGATTAAAGTTGAATGTTATTTACTTCTTTTTAAATCTTAGTCAGGGAGAACAATAAATGAAACATAATCTGGGCCTGGAATTGTTATTTGATTGCTTTTCTTGTAAATTTTGATTTTATATGTGAGGTTTTTACTAATTGTCTATCTGTTAACTAGCAGACTTGACAACAATTATCAGTTGTTTGTTTGCTTTGTTGAACTTTTTTATGAAAAGATTCATTAAAAAAAAAGACCGTTAAAAGAATAAGTCAGTGAACAACAATTTTATATATTAACTGCAGCATTATAAAAGCCAGCAGGCACATGTTAAAATGAGACACTGTTTGTCAAGAAGTAAATTCACCCTAATGTATCTGCTATTAGCCTCAAAACACAAGATGTCTGCTGTATAAAAGTTTATTAGCTTTTAGTTGAGTCCACTTCAACATATATAGCAATTATACGGTTGCCTATTTCAAAAGGCATTTACCAGTTAGCGCTTTATTTTGTTGTAAATGTGATCATATAATAATGACAGATAACAATCCTAGTCTGAAGTCTAAATAGCAAATGTAGCATTTATATTAGTTCTATCAAATAAGGCCAGTTTTTCTTTAACTGAAATGTGTTTCATGGTTACAAAGTGTTGTACAGAGTACAGGTGACAGATCCTTTCTTATATGTGTATTTTATCTGAGCCCAGATCAATAAAGCCTTTGCAGCAGATTAAATCTTAAAGTATCAGGTCAATGCCAAGCAAATTCTTCATAAGACATTAGAAGTGAAACCAGCGCTGATGTGAGGGGCTGAGCTCTCTATGAGTCAATCTGCTGCAGGGCGGTCTTCAGTGTAGCTGATTGAAGGGGCAGTGGGCGGTACAGAATAATGTTATTGATCCGAAAGTCTGCAGGTCGTCCTGGAGTCAAGCTACGGTATCGACTGTAAAGTCGTATCATGCATCAACCAAACCAGCACTGGAGTATGGAGCACTCGCGCACACGCACAGACCTCTGCAACAAGCCTGCATTTTTCATGAGGAATGAAAAGATAAATATTTCATCCAGGTGTGTAATGTAAATTCAATTATGCATTTGTTCTTTGATTTGCTTTCCTTTGAGGCAGTTTGAATGCAACGCTGATGAAACGACAACGGGGCCTTTACACCACACCAACCACCTCGCCTATCAATAAAAACACTAAACATCGTGTTACACTGTTGTGACAGAGGTGAACAAAAAAAGCAGCTTGGGGCGTAGCTTTATCTCTCACCTTGATCATCTCCATCAGCTTGGTAGCTGAGGAAATAAAAGGTAAAGTCAGAGGAAATGGTGAAACATCCTCTCTTTAATGACAATAAGACTTTTAAGCCTCATACTCAGCCTTAATCTCTGCCTTTTATTCCTTAAATGTTGAGTTTTGTGGGCAGGGAGGGAGCACTAACTGCTGTTTGCTTTGTGTTGCATCCATAATTGGACTACCCTAATAAAAGTCCATTTGAAGTCAGTTTCTGTTACATTATCTGCCAGCTTCTCTTTCTCAACTCGTTCCCATAAAAACCCTGCAAATATGGCTGTGGAAAAATACTATTCTCAGCTGACTGTCACTTGCCAAAATAAACAACATAACAAGCCTTGAGGACACACACAGTATGAGCCATTTACTTAATTTACATCATTCGGATTCACCCCCCTCCCCCCCTCCTCACAGTCTATTTTTAGTTCCTTGCTTTGCACTTTTAATGCTTGAAAGACAGAATTGTCTGGGTTTCAAAATTTAGCATTCAGTTGCCTAGCAACAACGGTCTCTGAAGGCTTGTCAGCTGAAGGCGGGTCGCACCGTCTCCATCTTGTTAAGCAGTGGAGTGATGAAAAGACAGACAGAAGAGCCTGGGGCTGGACGTTACTGTGCAATCCCTAAGATAATATCCCCCGAGGTCCAGGGCAGGCTTTTTAATCACACTACAGATTATGCAATCACTGTCAGACAGCCTGCTGAGGAAGAGGGCGGCAACCCGAGCCTGGAGCCTCGCTCACTGGTGTGTCCTAATACTACCTGTCCAGCCTTTTGTTCGCCTGCCTGTCTCCAGTGTATTACCACAGTGAAGCATCTACGCCGCAGTACGCTTGTGTCTTTGCAAGAGATAATGAGGGAGATCTGTTCCGCAAACGAGGAATTCAATAAAGGTTAAGTGTGTTATCAGGTAGCCAAACACAAATAGCTGTGTAGAGCAAATGGAGCAGTGGTAGAGAGAGACACTAACTCTCAAGTGTGGAAAAAAACACCTCCTCTAATGTAATATCACAGAAGAGGATGAGTGGTAGACAGCAGGACAGTGAGGGGCCTGTAATGTGTGAACTGTGTGTAATGTCACTGAGCTTTATTTCTCCAGATACCACCATCAGGACCCAGGAGTGTATATGTATATCTATTTAAGATTTAAAAAAGGCTCACAGATTTGTAGATGTGCTGATAACCTGTTAAAACAAAAAATGTATGATCATACAGCAGATAATAACCATGAGTGTGTGTAGCTTGAAGCCTAGGCTACACCTCTAAAATAAACGTCTTGGTGCACTATTTAGTAAAAACATGTTAAAGTCGAACCTTACGTACGGAAGAACAGCCGGTTCCAGATGTACATTGTGTAAACATTTTGCAAATAAATTATAATGCCCTGACATGCTGATCTTTCCCAACTATATTTGGAAGGTGCTGGGAAGTCTCTAAGACTGCGTGTTTTGCTTCCACATGCAGACATCCTTGCATGCAGGAGATGTCAAGAAAGCATGTTTCACTCAAATTACTATTAAAAGCTTGAAACGATTCATTGTGTGTATATTTCCAGGTTGCACACACTCAGCAGAGCAGGCTTCAGGTGGTATTTAGGAGTGTGGTCTGAACAGGCAATTTGCATGGTATATTATTAGCATAGCTTGATTTGCATACATTTCTGTTACAATAAGCCTGAAATTTCGTGCTCAGCCTTCCACAATGGCTGTGCAGTTTGCATACTATACATCATTGTGACTGACAGTCTAATATTAGCACAGCAATAGAGTAAATGCAAATGATCTGAAGATCCAGAATGGTATTCTGGCAGAAAGGCAGAAGATTTTTCATTGTACAGCCGTGTTATTTTATCTACTCAGTGCTATTCTCCCCACGCAACAATAAAGAGATTTCCTCTCTGATGTGAATTTTTAATAATAAAACTGTCAACTGTGATGAATGCAGCTCATGTCAGCCAGCCAGCTAATCAGGCTGGGAACCAGAGAAACAGAGGTCTGATTATGGCCGTCGACTGGCTGCGTGTCTCAGTAACAATTTCATGAAGAGCAGTTTGAATCTGTCTCCTAACTACTCAGGGTGCAACCAGACCCAGGAAGCAAAAGGAAAGTAAATTGGCGTCTGCTGAAGACATACTATAGTAGAAAATCTAATCTGACGTTCACCCTGGCAGCCTCCTCTTATGTGCTCCGTCCATCTCCTGACTCGTCCGCTGACTACACACTGCTAACAACCAACACAACGCTGTCCACAATTGTCCACATGAGCTTTCAGTTCACCTGCAGGGGTGAGGTAGAAATCTCTGGTACACTCCGCCTACCCTGCTTACCTGCATACACCGCACGCATGCGCGTATAAACTTTGCTAAAACCACTTCTGATTAAATTATCTCCTTCACCAACATGATAAAAACCGGGCAGGTCTTATGGTCTCGTTGGGTGTAATTCCAAATACTGTAGCCATTAGGTATGGGCAATATAACAATATTATGTACTGATAATTGTTTCTGTTATTTTGTCCACCACACCTCTCTGTGTAATTCAATACAGTTCAACACACACCACAAACTGCAGCCTCCAAAAGGATCATTAGGATTTAATCTGTCTCTTCATGAAGGGAGGACTTATTGCACAAGTGATGTATTTCACTAAATTAGCTTTAGCGAGGTGTAACTAATACACTGGTGTATTAGACAATATGACTGTAATATCTCTGGTTGCATCAATGTGTTGAATTGTTTTCATCCGTCCAAGTAAAAAAAACAGACGTTCCTGTTCAGTTTTCTCAGTGTTGATACATATCAATAAGTGATATAATATTACACGTGCCACTGTGATAGAAGATAGTATCCATACTGCCGACCCCTCTACTCAACGATGAGGAAGACTGAGTCTGGGAGAGACTGCTGGTCTGACCTGGAGGAACAGACGGCATCTATCCAGTTACAGAAGAGTGACTCACCTGCTCGGGGCTGATCCAGGCTCTGGTTGTCTGACTTCTCCTGCATCAGCTTGCGAGTCCATTGCAGCGTCCCATCGTTCACGCCTGGCCGAAGCCCAGAAGACTCAGTCTCTGTAACAAAACAACACCAGAGTCATCTCTGTGCAAAACACTTAAAAGACCTCATGTGCTCCAAACCTGTGCACTTTGATTCAGGGCTGGACTAACAAGGGTTTATATATTTGGTTAGTGATGTGGATTATTGTTCTGTTAATTGTTTACTCAATAAAATATTAGTCAATCAACAAAAAAATAATCGGCCACTATTTTGATAATACATTTATCGTGCCAGACATTGAAATGCCAAACCTACATTACCAAGTTCCAGGTTGCCTCAATTGGACGATTTGCTACTTTTCTTTGTCTGTATAAAATTAAACTGAACGTCTTCAGGTTTTGGACAGTGTGTCAGACAAAACACGACATTTGAAGACATCAAATTAAGCTTTAGTAAATAGTGATGGCAATTGTTCACAACTGTGTAGATCAAATGATTAACCAGTTAACCAACAACATGAGTTGCAGTCCTAATATGGAAACATTTTAAAAACGTCCATCACAGTTTCAAGGAGCCCAAGGTTAAAAAGGGGTCTTAACACTTAACTTCTTTTGTCTGACCAACAGTGTAAAACAGCAAATTCTCAAATGTTGGAAACAAACAATTAATCCAAATTGTTGTAGATTAATTTTCAGTTTATCAACTAATCGAGTACTAAGATTGTGCTTTATTGAATAATTGTTTCAGTTCTTTTCAGAAAATAAATCTGTTCAAAGAACCCCTGACTTAACTATAGTAACCAATTAATCTTTTTCTTGTTTTGAAGTAGTAATTGTCTCCAGAGTTATTCTTGACTCAAGCGAGGACCCAACAGACTGTAGTTTCATGTTTCTGGCTCTGGGAGATAGCAGCATGCTCAGTAATTCAGTCCATGCTGCTGTCAGCTGTCTACAGCCATCAGCACTGAAATCTTTATGGTGTGTATTTCTGCTCTGTATTTCATTCCTCGATAGCTCTTCTCTGTGTGGGTTTCAGCTTTATGGCTACACTACGGCGACAGCTGAGGAACTCCCCACAGATAGCTCCGTCTCATCACCTCTCCAACAGGAAAAAAATACAGACATCCTCCACCACCACCCACAGAGATCTTTCCAACAAGCGCCGAGAAGATAGTGAGGTACTTATTACACACTGTCCTCTTATTTATGAGGCAGCTTGGTGTCTGTGTGTGATGCATTTCGTGATTGCCAGGCGCTGTAGTGTTCCTTTGTACCTTGCAGCTCAATGAGCCCATTTCACAAGGGCAGCGGTCGTGGCTGAGACGAGACGTGAAGGCTTTCATGTTGAGGCATCAAGAGGAGCTCGACTCGTATGAAATTCAAATGTGTTTCTGCCACAGATGGCTCTGCACCATTTTCACACTTATAACTGGGAGAAGTCTCCAACATTGAAACCACATTTTGTCTTGTTAGAAAAAAGGAGGAAAAACAATAAAACCTAATGGTTATTCTATTTATTTTCCCGATTTATTAACTCAATATGAGTTTAACACAGAATGGAGCACAATCAGCAACATTTAGTGCCGAAATGGTCAGTTGATTAATTGGTTAGTCAATTGACAGATAATAAATCACCAACAACTTCGACAGCTGATTAATTGTATAGGTAATTAATCTCTCTATGTATGCATTTGCTGTTTTTTTCTATTCTATTCTATTCTATTGTAATTGATTCTGTGTTTCACTGTGTGCGGACAAAACAAGCAGATTGAAGACATTACACTGGGCTTTAGGAACTTGTAATAGGGATTTTTTTTACCACTTTCTCACAATATACAGCCTAAATTATTACTTGGTTAATGTAAAACATTATCAACACATTAACCTTTAGCTAACATAGTTGTTAGGTTCAGCCCTAATATTTAGAAACCAATGTCTCCCAGGAATAATGTACAACATACATAAATTACTTGTACAAAGCTAAAACATAATTCAAGAAGGCACTTACTTTCTATGAAACCTTTAGACTGATCTGACAGTATTTACTTAATTAATTTGAACATAAATTGACTCCTTAAATAATACTTATGCAAGTCCTTATTCACTGTACTAATAAATTCAATCTACATGTGCTCCTTGACTCCCAGGCGGTTGTCATTACAAAAATTAGACTCGCCGATTCCTTTCCAGGCCTTTATATCTTCCAGTAAGTCTGAGGGTCCTGGTGTTGCTAACACTAAACAACTGGAAACTGTTTGGCTGAAGTGGTAAACCACCCAGATCTTGGCGCCTCTCGTCAAGTGATCAGTTTAGTTAGTAGATGCCTAAACAACAGCCACACTTATGAAATATATTGCATTTACTGTGTCAAATTGTTAGTTTGCTCTTTTTCTTCAATGTTTTAATTTCATAAATGTGTATTATTTTTTATGAATATTAAAGGCGGCCTGCCTCCACTGTAAAACGATTACAAAAATGTGTTGGACATAAAGATCACAAAATTACACACTTTCTATGCACTGTCGCTCTGACCCTGACCTTTGACCTTGAAGTTGCTTATAAGTGGTTTAAGCGAACTTTACTGTTAAAGTGATTGTTCCTCTCGATAGGACTGTCTGCTATAGGTCTAAAATGTAAACATAAAGGAAAGAGGTTACAGAAGGATCAGTGACAAAAGTGGACGACACATGAAATGCAGTGTTTGTATGGAAATATCTTAATCCTTCTGCCACATTCCTCAACATAAACACGCTGGTTGAGTGCTGAAAGGTAAGTGTAAATACAGTAATGTTCAGTGTAAATAACAAAAATTCATAATTCATCTCTGTCCACGTCAGTATAATAAGGCAGACTGTGGGGAACCTCCAAGCTGAAGCTCTGCGTCACATATAACCAAGTGTTTATGTCGGGACATTTATTCTGAATTTCTATAAGGCAGCAAAGAAGAAAATGTCTTGTTGCAACACATGCTGAATACGGACCAAATGATGCTGAAAATCCTTAAATAACAACTACTTGATTTTTACAAAGCCTGGACAAAGCCTTAATTGAAACATGAAAGCCCAAAGCCATACACTATAATCTGTTCTCTTCAGGAAAGACAAACCACTGTTGCCTCCTTCTTTAACAGAAACAAGACATTTGATCCCGTCAATCACACATCAACTGGACAGACCGGCTTCCTCAGGTCTTACCCCAAACAGGTTCACTGCCTCCACAGAGCAAAGACTGCAGTGTGCGGTAGTAAATGTCTCTGACTGTGAAATCCTCAATAGTGGCAATGCTGGTAAGCATGGGCTGCGTCTGAAACCTGAGTCTTTAGATATTACTTTATAAAAATAATATTGGTAGTTCAGTCCAACGCTGAGCTACATTTCCATGTAGATAACAGTGCAGTCCTCCAGATCTCCACTCTGACATTCAGACCGAACATTTAGTAAGTGTCACGTTGCAGTAAACAGAGAGCTGATGAACATTTGATTTGACCTTAAATGGGATCTAAACCACAGTTGTATAAATATTTGAGTGTAGACAGTACCAAGTTCAAAATAAAAAAAAACAAACTCCAAAACCAAAGCAGGATTCTGCCATGAATACAACATGTTTTCTCCCATAAATTATTCCAAAACCATTCATCCTGTTGATATTGACTGCAGTTTGATTGTGTTTATCCATATGTACACTTTTGATGCTTTAAGTGATTGAAAGTGGCCACACAAATGGTCATATTTTTGGGGATGGCTTCTATGGTTCAATTCAACTTTTTATTTCTGATACCAATACTGATACCACAGCATTGTGTGCATGTCAATAAAGATATGATAGCAATGCATTTCCTGTCTTAACACTACTGTATGTGTCTATACGTGGAGGGTGCCAAAGTCAGAAATGTTCAGATTCTACAAGTGACGATAATCAATATTTTATATTAACAATGGATCACACATTCATACATGTGAAAGAGCTCGCTCATAGTCACAAACCTACAGAGAATTATCAACTCACTCCTCGAATTCCCCTCAGCCCCTTAGTTTTGGGGGGGTTTTCCAGTCCACAGTTTCACTGTTAAAGTTTCATCTAACCACTCTCATCAATCTTGTGTACTGTCGTAACAGGCAGCAGCTTGGGAGAAAAGCTGCGATAAACTTTAAACCGACCAGCATCAAATGACAGGCAGACAAACTAGCCGGAGAACATCTAGCAGCTAAACAGTCACATACTCCCTCAGCAGTTATTGAAAAGCAAAAATGGAGCTGAAAGGACAGTAAATATTAGACTTACATTAATAATGAGCACACAAACAAATTATACTAATGTTGCTGGATGTGTAAATAATAATGTGTAATAAATTGTTTGCTAGCACATTTGCTATTTCAACTTTAAAAGATGATAATATGTCAGCTTGTTTCCACTGCCCCCAAGTGGCCAAAAAACTAACAAACTGAAACAGTTATTTGGGCCATAATGGAAACTTTTTGTGTGAGTCACAAAACTGTCTAACCTTTTATCAATATTAACCTTCAGTCTATCCAGTGTGCTGTCTGAAATAGTCATAACACGGGATAAAAACAGGATGTTTATGTGTCCACCACTTGCTCGTACAGACGAAGGACAGCTATCTTGGAGATTAAAAAAACACAAGCGGTGGGTCATCTTCAAATTTCTTCATCAAATTTGGTAACTTTATCAGCTGTGATACCAGTTATCATCTTTTCTTTGTTGTTGTTTGGATGGAGTTCCTCATACTTCTCCACTGCTTTCAATGATGTTTGTTTTTGCAAATTTTCCTTCTTGTTGCCTTTACAGCTCTGCCATAATACTACTAGTTTTTCATCACACTGGTGGTGTTATTGAGATTGTAACTTATTTTTCTGATATCCAGGGTTTTTTTTATGCCAGAATCAGACCAATTGATAGAGAGTGGTGGATCAGAACATCCATATATGGTTATACAAGCAGTGGTATTTAGGATGCTACAGTATGTGTAATATTTTCCATGTATTGTGAGAGTAACCTGCTTGTCGCCATTCCAAACAGCAGACCACATGCTCTGCCCCGTGCTTTTATATGGTTTAAGTTGAGCGGCCTTGGTCTCAGTTCAAAAAACCTCTTCTGGTTGATGGCACACTCATAATTTAAAGGTGAAGTATAAATATTAATGACACGGCTCATTCACCAGGACACTCTTCCATCGCATGCAAAACTAGGATGAAACCGAAATGTAAATCAAACACTTGTGATAGAACAAAACCAAAGTTCACCCATTCATATCATTATAATGCACAAAGGTTTACAGAGGAAAAAACATCACCGCTGAAGCAGCTGATGAGTGTGTGAGTGACAGTGTGTGACCACATCGGCAAAGGTGATGAGAGGATAATGAGCTGGAGGGAGGGAGGGGGGTGTGTATGATGCCTTTAGGTGCAATGCTGCTAGATGAGACGTTGAAGCGTCTAACTAAAACTATACTTATTACCGTGAAAAAATAACCTCATTCTGGAAATTAATGAATACTGACTGGTGCATAACATTACAGTTTCACTGTTTCTTCACTTTTTTCTTTTTATGTTTCACTGTTTCTTTTTATGTGCAGATGAAACCTTATTATCATTCTGCTGCTTGTATCAACCAAATTCAAAAGATGCACTGCAGAATTATTTCCTGGGTGTATATGTGCATGTATATATGTATAAAAATAACTGTATATATTCATTTATTTTTTAAATTCTTTTTTATTAATCTTTTATGTTTTTCTATGTGTTTAGCATGAAGGAACTACAAATGTTCATTTCATTATACAGTTATATAATGAGGAATACATTTCCTTGATTCCTCTATATATAATTTTAAGGAGGAAGAAGTGTAGTAAAGAAGAGGTGAATCTACATGTATGTGCACATGAACTGTAATGAATCATGTATTCCCTACACTGCATGTCCTTTTATACATGTATTGTAATAACTTTACTGTGAGGACTGATGAGGAATCAGCTCATGGGAAAATGAAGAAATCAGGATTTTGTCAGTGAGATGTGTTATGAGTGAAAAGAAATGAACATTACTGTAAATAATCCAACACAAATTAAACTAGCTATCTAATATTTATCTACATTTAACAAAAAAGCTATTCAGGTGAATGAAAAACACATTCGTAGCTACAGTGACAGCCTGGGAAGAGGCAGAAAGCTAAAGGGCAGGCAGTCTATAAAGGGATCAGGAAAAAACCTCAAAAGTGAATCCTTAACATCCGCAGTCATACACAGTATTTCTTCTGAGATGAAGATGAAATATCCAGTGAGTGCCTGGTGAATCTGCAGTAACCTATGAATGAACTTATCCCCAGTGATTGGATTTATACATGCCACAATTTGTGTCTGCTTTATGTAATCGACAAACTGTCACCTTCGTGCAGTGAGGACAGAATCTGGGAGACGGTTAGCAGTCGCGTTAGAAAATCCTGAACCAATATTTAAATAACTGAAACAGTGCTTCAGCAGTCTGGCATTCAGGACTGTTTCGATACTTTGAGGACAGGCTTTGTCTTAAAAACCCTGCACAGCAATCAGAATTGTACTTGCACCTGCATTTTTTCTTATTTTGACAATTAAATGTTGCAATAATGTCTACTTTAACTCTGCTTGAATGCATTCAGATGGTGAATGCAGCACCTGTCTACTGTATAAGTGGGCTCTCCTACACCAGACATATATATTGTATATATTCATATTCACATCCATAGAAAATAAGACTTTTAGATTCATGAATACGAGGGCAAGTATATTGGATCTTTGATCCAAATGAAGACAAAGCAGTACACGTTGTGCTCTGAATACATGGATTATGCTGCATTTTCTAACAGTTTAACCAATGCAGCTCTTTGTTGAGAGCAATAGTAGTTTTATAGGGTTTTAGATTGTGTAAGGGCAAAATATTCTTTAAGATTTCCTCTCTATTTGAATGTTTCTTTTCGTATGGATCTTCTTTAAAGTCAACATATCATATACCAGTTAATAATTTATTATTATCTTTAATGTTTTTTGTTGTAATAAATAATATCAACCTTTATTATAGATGCATTTCTCTCTCCAGGGCGACCACACACACACCATATGTCTATAAATACATATAAAATTCAACACTGATTAATATTGTGCATACTTTACTCATCAATATGTGCAGCCTGTTTTAGTTTTATATATTAATATCCTATTCATTTCCCATTGCACATCCAAGAATGCCCATAGGATTATAATCATTGTGCCCTCTCGCAGGCGCGCGCAGCCTTTATGTCTATATTAAGGTCTCACCTGGTGCCTGGATGACCTGAGCGAGCCAAATGACAGCGACCAGTCCGACTCCACAGCAGCAGAACCGCTGGAAGGGCCGCCGGTGCCTCGCTGCTGCTCTCATTCCTCAGCCGGCCGCATATCCACCAAAAACATCTGTTGCTCTCTTCCTGACACTTGTTTCACACTTTCTCTGCAAAACAGCTCCGAACAAACCACCACTACCACCTCCTCCTCCTCCTCCAAGAGCAGCGGCGGCGGCAAGCGACTTCTCTGCCAAGTTGTGTCACAAAAAATCCCCGCAAAGACAAGCCCGGTTTTCCCCTCCGGACTCAGAGCAGACGCTGCGCTACTTCACTCCGACAAGCCTCCGGGTCGCACATAACGAGTTGGACGCATAATAAAAAAAAAAGCTCTCTGCGTTCATGTGTACAGTCTGAAAGGTCGACAGCAGATCCCACAGTGAGGTGCAGCAACAGGAGGCGACATGCTCAGAGCTCTGTGTGCCTTCACTCTCTCTCTCTCTCTCTCTCTCTCTCTCCTCCTCTCTCTCTCTCTCTCTCTCTCTCTCTCTCTCTCTCTCTCTCTCTCTCTCTCTCTCTCTCTCTCTCTCTCTCTCTCTGCTCACACGGTGCTCTCCCCCTGTGCGGCCACCAGGCGGCGACACATTCAAGGACTCCTCGTTCAGAATCAATGGACAGAAATGTTTCACTCCCAAGCAGTAAAAGATGCCGTAGTGAGGGTGCACACATTAAAAGCACCTGTAGCCTAGCAGTGGGGCCCACTGCTGCTCCTGGAGAGACCCAACGCTGCATCAAACTTTCCATCCCTCCCTGTTCTGCCTACATTTGATTAACTCTTAATTGGCTGAGCACACCTGATCCAGCTAATTGGGCGTGAACAGAGCAGGGGATGATGGTAAATATGCAGCACAGGAGCTCAGTGTGGGTACTGCTGAATCTATTGCATTATTATATAACTATATAATTCTGTTCACTTGCAGTAGGCTACGTCCAGGCAACCTAAAAGTGGTGATAAAGTAACTTTGTATTGTACTTGCACACATAGTTTGGAGACAGGCAGAGCTGAATATGGTTAGAGCTCCATAACATTCATTACTACACTTCCCATAATGCAACCTGGTGGAGCCTTTTATTAGACCCTTAAAGAAGTACTGCATGCTCCAGCGTGTAACATGTAGGAGGATCTATTGGCAGAAATGGAATATAATATGCGGAGGCATGTTTTCATTAATGAATGAATATAGGAATTGTTGTGTTTTTGTTAGAATGAAGAGTTTTTATCCACAGACACCACTGGTCACCTTCCACAAAGTCTGCCATGTTGAGCCGCCATGAACTACAGTAGCCCAGAATGGACAAACCAAACACTGGCTGTAGATCATGTTTGAATGTTTTTGGCAAGTTTCATGTCCACCGTAGTTTCTCCTACACACTTTACAGCGCGTTCTCATTCCCGGGTCGTCAAATACCAACACGAGCTGTGTTCAGTTAGTTGCAACTTCACAACTAGATGCCACTAAATCTTACTCACTGGCTATTTAAACATATTTTTTGAGCTGTAAATTAAATTACATCCCACCTCCCCCAGCCTCCACTTTAAGTAAGAATCTGTGAAACAGCTGTGCTCATTTTCAAATGTGTACTGATTGAGACGCATCATTCACAAAGGGTCATAAATGTGCTTCTAACTGTAAAAGGTCCAGTTGACACTCCGCGTCTGACAGCAGCTGCTCCTTAGCTCTGACTACCAGCTCGCTGTTCCTGCTACACTGAACGCTGTTACTGTCACTCACTTCAGACCCTACGCCCCCGACAGTCACTGTCCTTTGCGAGTCTCTGCTGCGGTAGTTAGCAGAATTTGGGGATTTCCTGTTAAAGAAGAAAAATTTTCCAAGGCAAAACTGAGAGAAATACTAATGATTATTTTTTCAGAATTTCCAAAACTCCTCTAAACTGTTTTCTACAGATGGAGTATTTCGTCCCATGATGGGTCAAGTCGATGTGTAATGATGATAGATTGGTGGTTTAAATGTAAAATTGGAGTAGTCTAGTTGCCCAGCTGCAGTCTAGGTCTTTGAGGGTTAAAGATGCCACGTGGAGTTTACTTGTAAACAAACAAACAAACAGTGTTTTGACTCAGTGTTTCTTACCAGAACATACTGTGTGTGTCCTTCTGGTCCAACAAACATGTCAAGTGCTCATAAAGCATTTGTAAAGCAGATTTGCTTCCATTGTTTAGCACCATGTTTACTTGCAAACATTGTTCTTCTTCACTGCCTTTGTGGGTGTATTTCTACGCTTTCATTGTGTGTTACCAACACTAACTGTCGATCAGTAGAATACTGTGTGTATCGAGTTGTTAGCACACTCATGCATATTGGTGAGCGTCCTTGTGCAAATACAAACTCAACAGGAGCCTACCCTTAAAACCATCACTCCATAGTGCTACTAGCAGTCAGAGACTCCACAGGGTTGCTTAATGGTGCTATATTAAAAGCTATTAAACTTAAAACACCACTTTCAACCTCACAAGGCCTTCTTCAGTGAGAGGGGTGGAAATAGACCTTTTTGATGTTGGAGGCCTTTTATAAAAGCTCTCACTAGATGTCCTGGGGAGGGAGACCTCAAAGATCCCCTCAGCTGTCCTCACTGTAGGGTCTCCAGACTGGTACCAGTTAGTAATACGGCTGGCCAGGATACTCTCAGCAGTGCTCTGATATAAGGTGATGAGGATGGGAGAGGGTAATAAAGTAATAGAAATACAAATCCTGTAATATAGTATGATGTTGAGAAGTGTGAACCTATATACTGTCAATGGTTGAGACTGACTGAGATATACTGATTCAATGATACATTTGTATCTATAATTTATTGCATTGAATTTTGTGCAAGTGTTGCTTTTCTTGTGTCCACCTGCACCCAGCAGGAGATTTTAAAGCTTCCCTACTCCTGTGAGCTGCCAGAAAATGCATTTCCTGACAAATTACTTAATATAGTGTCATTATTATTAACATGAACACATGGACACTGCCAGTAGAGTGTCCTTTGTGTCTTATTTTCTCATCCCCATCTCTTGAATTATTGCTGAATACAAATGCTAAAAGTGAGGGGACTGCCCTGCTGTCTGTTTTGGGAAACAAAGACCACTTGTCACACGGAGACCTTCCAGAAACAGGGTGAAGATTAAGAAACACTGCTGCAGTGCTGTCTGCTAATAATCCACCTGCCAGTTTCCCAGAAAGTACACAAATCCTTTTGCGTAAAAGTGCATGTACTGTACAGTAGAAGTAGTCTGGCTAATGTCTTCTATTAAAAAATTAAGCCCTTAAAAAAGACCTTAACTTTGGAAAAGTCAAATAAAAAAGTGAAAGGAGCCTCATATAACAGCAGTAAGCCTGCAATGTTCTGGTGTTTTTCATTCTTTAATGTTTAACTGCAGAGTTTATGACTGATTAGTTTATCATTGACTTGCATGGCTTGTTTTAGGAGGTGCAGCACTTATTAACAGGTTGCATGCCAATCTTACAAAAAAATGTCCCCACAGAAATGTGTTGAACATGTAGTGTGTTGTATAGTAATGCATCAATGTCAAGGACAGAGGTTTAAATTGTTCCAGTTTTTGACTTTTTTGGATTAGTTTGTTAAAAGTTATGTCCATTTTGATTTTATTCAACATGCACTGAAACCAAACGTTTAGTATTTCCCCAAAAGGAAATGTAATTCATAGGTTAGGGTGGATAAATAAACTATTGGGTGTATTTCTAAACATTAGAGAACCTCTTGGATAAAATATTTATCTGTTGTTTGTATCAGTTGATGGGTAATATTGATCAAACCAATGAAATCTGATTTATGTTAAGTGTTGTCAGGACAGTCAACACAGCAGTGATGTTACAGGCAAACTCACATTAGGCCTCATTTGCTTGTGTATGGGGCAACAGCGGCCTGGTGATTTAAAATACAATATACAACCCTGTGAACCAGGAGTCTAAACACACGCACCAGCACATGGCCTCTGTATTTACAGAACACGGATGAGTCAAACTGGCGTTAAGCCCTTGAGCTGTGTGTGAAACATAGCCCCTAGTGAAGACTCCGTTGTGCGCTCCAACCCCAAATAAAGACATAGGCCGGCGCATTGTTGTCATCAGTCCTCCTCCTGGTGTCAGGGCAGGGAAGATGAAGCGTTTTTCTGTGGCTTGTGTTTAGGAAAGCCTTCCAGAGGACAGAGTCCTGGGAAATGTTTGTATGATGTTGTCCTGCTGTATTATGATCATGGAACAAGCTTTGGAAAGTGTATTTGTCTTACCTCATGCTGTATCAATCCAGGGGGAAGGGAATGTGCATCCAATCAAACTTTTTTAAATCTGTATCATCTCAGTTGAAATCTCCACGTGTGTGTACAGGCCGGTTTTACTTTTATATCTTGATGAATACAATGACTTTGATTTTTGGACATTTGCCTGTAGCGCATGCATGAGGTCTTGAGTGAAATGTCTCAACAACTGCCGGTGGATTTATCCGCACATTAAATGTGGTACACAATTAATTTCCCCTCAGGGATTGTTATCACATTGGTGACCCTTTAACTTTTCAAATAGATTTCCATCAGGTCAAAATCTTTCTTTGTGTTGACATTCCCATCAGCTTTAACTGCACTTTATGCTTTGTGCTAATTAGCAAATGTTAACATGCTAAACTAAGATGGTGAACATTGCAAACCTAAAACCTACTAAAAACATTTGTATTTTGTGTTTTCTGTGGAGACATTTAAAGTCAAGAGTTAAAGTGTGGCATATGGTGAAAGAAAGTGTAATAATAACCATCATGATTGTGTGATTATGGCCTAATAATTAATAAATAAATAACATGAACCAGATTGAACTGAAGAGGTTCTCCAGTTTTGTCTATCAGCATTTTTCAGTTCCCTGGAGGATGTTAAATGACAGAGACTATCTCGATAAACAAAGCTGTGCCTTGCAGCCAATATCGTTCTGAGGGAGTTTTGAAGGGTCAGGGACCGTGCTTGTCACCGCACCATGCTTGCTCAGCTGATCTTAGTGACAAACAGGAAGTTAAACTGTCTGTTTCTTGGAGATGTGTGGTGACAACAGAGCTTCCATTTTTAAAATAATACTTTCAACATCAACACATATTTTCCGGCCATCTACAGCACTTAAAACCTAATAATCTTCCGCATCAGTAGTTCCTGACACTGTTTTAGCCCTGATAGCCTTGAGATTAAATCAATTGCCAACGCCATTCACAACATTAAAGTCGATCTCTTATTCAAATCACTGATGCTCTCCCTTAAAGTCTTGTCAAATACCTTCGAAAGCAAAGATTGTTCAGACAGATAAATCATCGGCTTACGAGCCACATTTAGCTGCAAATACATTTAAATTAAAAGCTGATTCAAATGTTTTTCATGTTTCATGCAACGACCACAAACCAGATTTAGAACAGGAAGCAGTTTGATTGTGAAGAGATGAGTGTTTTTTAATC